GCCCTATCCTCTATTCTTATAAGGTGACACAGTTGGCAGGATTAAAGAACCTCATCAAGCCCCATGCCCCTCTGGGGAGGGTCTGCCTTCCCCGCATGCTTGTACCCACCAAGGAGAGCAGTCAGAAGCTCAGTTTTTCTTAAGTTATTCTGGACTTTGTTGGGCAAAATTATCACCAGCACTGATTCCATCATCTGTGTCTTATTCTCCTTTTCTCAACGGATCAGAGGAGAGAATCTGAAGTCAATAAAGCCCAAACATTTACTAATATGAGACATTAGATGGAACAGTCTGGTTCAGTCCAGAGGGGGTTAGTTTACTCTTATTCATTTATCAGCTGTCCCGGGTCTTCGTTGCTGCATGCAGGTTTTCTCTATTAGCTGTGGTGAGCAGGGCCTACTCTTCATGGAGTTGGGGGGCTTCTCCCCACAGTGGCTTCTCTTTTGTGGAGCACAGGCTCTAGGTGTGGGGGCTCCAGTAGTTGAAGCACTTGAGCTTCAGGAGTTGTGGCACACAAGCTCAGTTGTGGCTCCCAGGATTAGTTGCTCCACGGTTTGTGGAATCTTCGCGAACCAGGGGTTGAATCTGTGTCCCCGGTACCGGCAGGCAGATTCTTATCCACTGCACCACCAAGGGAAGTCCCCAGAGGGTTTTAAAGTGGAAGGGCCTGACCCACTGAAGGTCTGTCCCCAAGTGGGGACCAGGAGGTATATGTGCTTGTGAGCCTTCCCCTCAGAGACTTGGCCTTGAGGCAGGAAGTGATGACACCTGGCTGATGTGGGGCAGAGCCATGGGGTGAGGGTTTGCATTCATCTCGTACTAACTGGAGCTCCCGAGGTGTGTGGCCTGAGCAACACCAGCTATGTCATGTCCAAGCATCTGGCACAGGACCAATACACAGATATACTTAGTAAGTTAAGAACCACTATTTCTATCATATATCTCCTGGGCAGACCACAAAGCCCTAGTGCCAGGCATCCATGCATAAGAAAACTACCACCACAAGGCCTGGTGGTCCAGTGGTTAAGAACCCACGTTGCAATGCAGGGGACGCAAGTTTGATCCCTGGTCTGGGAAGATTCCACAGGCATGGAACAACTCAGTCCATGTGTCACGACTACGGAGACCACTCACCTAGAGCCTGGCTCTGCAACAGAAGAAGCCACTGCAACTAGAGAGTAGCCGCCCCTCTCCGTAACTAAAGAAAGCCCTCTCATGGAAACAAAGGCTTAGTGCAGCCAGAAATAATAAATAATATTAAAAGAAAGAAAATAGCCTTGTACTTCAACAGGACTGTTTGCCTCGATGAGCCAACAATGACTGAGCCAAAAGCTAATTCAGTCAGAAATCACCATATTGTGGATGGTAACTGAACAATCCAATGAAAGTCTCTGTCTTTGAAAAGGTCAAAGGTGAGAAGCAGAGAGACAACAAGAAGGTGCTTGGGAAGACTATGTGGGACCCAGGAACGGGAAGAGAAGTCGAGCTAGACCCCAGTATCTGCTTTCATTTCCTGGTAGTAGCCACATAATGCCCCTTCCTCCAATATTACTTGAATTTGCAGAATCACATCTCCCTGCAGCCAGAAAACTTGAACTCAAACATTGCCTGGTCCCCCAGCCACTCCCAGAAGATGGCAGCTTAGCTTGGCAGGGCTCATCTTAGGAGCCTCGGTAGCTCCAAGGTTGCACCAGGCTCATTTCTAAATGTGCACCCACCATCTGTTGGATGATTCACGCCTGGCTGGATGCAAAGTCAGGGCTCCATTTGGGTCTTTGGACTTGAATTCATCCCAAAATCAAAGGTGTCAAGTTTAGTGGCCTTAAAATTCTGGAATCCTTTTGGGAAATGAGGACCTTGTACAATCTCTTGGCATGTCTCTCCTTTTCATAAAAATGTGAAAAAAGTTCTGAGAAAATCCCTGAGACAATGACTTCCCCATTTGGGCTTGGTCTCTCTGGACTAGAAGGTGGGCACCCTTGGGCAGCCCCTATTCATACACGTCCCTTCCTAGACCAGCTTTCTTCCTTCCTTGTCTCCTTCCTTCCTCTTTTGCTTTTATTTTCCCCCATTTCTAAACTTTAGGTGCAGAAATTTGAGTTAATCATATACTGCCGTTCATGGCATATACTATGATCATTATACCATGCCAGCCCCCTTTTCTGTTTTTAATCATCTGTTTATTCTCTTTTATCTACTTTTCCCTTTGTAATTACCATTGCCTGCCCTGCCCCACCCCCATTCCTGCCATAGCAAAAAGTCTTTGCAAATGAATTTTTTTGAAGTAGAGTTGATTTACAATATTGTGCTAATTTCAAGTATACAGCAAAATGATTCAAATGTAGGTGTATATGTATATACGTGTTTGGTTACTATAAGGTGTTGAATACAGTTCTTTGTTGTTGTTGTTCAGTCCCAAGTCACATCCAACTCTTTACAACTCCATGGACTGCAGCACGCCAGGCCACCCTGTCCCCCACCATCCCCCGGAGTCTGCCCAAGTTCATGTCTATTGAATCGGTGATGCCATCCAACCATCTCGTCCTCTGTTGCCCTTTTCTCCTTCTGCCTTCAATCTTTCCCAGCATCAAGGGCTTTTCCAATGAAGTTGGCTGTTGCATCAGGTGGCTGAAATATTGGCGCTTCAGTTTCAGGATCAGTCCTTCCAATGAGTATTCAGGGTTGATTTCCTTTAGGATTGACTGGTTTTATCTCCTTACTGTTCAAAGGATTCTCAAGAGTCTTCACCAGCACCACAGTTTGAAAACACAGTTCTTTGAGCTATACAGTAAATCCTTGTTGCTTATCTATTTTGTGTGTAGTAATTTGTTTCTGTTTATCTCATGCTCCTAATTTATCCCTCCCCCCTCACTTCCCCTTCGGTAAACATGTTTGTTTTATTTCTGTGAGTCTGTTTAAATTTTGTATACCAATTAATTTGTATTAAATTCCACATATAAATGATATCATATTATATTTGTCTTTCTCTGTCATCACTTAGTATGATATTCTCTAGGGTCCATCTATGTTGCTGCAAATGGTAACATTTCATTCTTTTCTATGGCTGAGTAATATGCCATCATATATCTATTAATATTATATATACCACATCTTCTTAAACAAATCAACTGTTGATGGGCACTTGGGCTATTTCCATGTCTTGGCTGTTGTAAATAGTGCCACTATGAACACTGGGGTGTATGTATTTTTGAAGTAGAGTTTTTGTATTCTCCCAGTATAGACCTAGGAGTGGGATTGCTGGATCATATGGTAACTCTAATTTTAGTTTTTTAAGGAGCCTCCATACCGTTCTCCACAATGGCTATGCCAATTTACATTCCCACCAATAGTGCAGGAGAGTTCCCGTTTCTCCACACCCTCTCCAGCATTTATTACTTGTAGATTTTGATAATGGTCAGAGTGGTGTGAGTTTAATTTCCTAATTAAATTTCGAATTGTGGTTTTATTTCTTTTTTTTTTGATTTTCAAATACCATAAGTTTATTAATTTATTAAGTACTAACACATATTTGATTCTTAGCCAGAATACGGAGCTGGAGAGCGTTCTTCCATACTGAAAAATCAACTAGATAATATGGTACATTATGTGCAAATGTAAATACTGAAAAACTCTCCAAAAGTTTAATCAAAATCTGCTTTGTTTGCTAATGATTTTCCCAGAAAACCACTGATGAGAACACCATGAATCTCTTCAGAATTAATGTTTATAATGGCAGTTTTGATTATGTTGATCCAAGTAATGCAGTGGTGGCAGGTTGGGTAAAGGCAAAGGTTTACTTTTCATTTCCCCAAATGTCGTCTCACTTGATTTAGGAGGGCTTGGGAATACCCAGGAATTATCTTCCAGGGAATTTCTGCTGTAAGAGTTGTTGTCCTGAAAGTTTGTGCCGTCATGAGGAATGGATCGCTCGTGATCTGTCCACGACTGGAGAGCTGCCTTCTCCGATAAAACCTTTGCATCTCCTTGTAGGGGGGAAGGCGTGGCATGGCACAGAGTTTTGCCATTTGGTGAGAGGGGGGCATGTCTTTTGTAAGTTGCAGTAAAATTCGACAAGTGCAGTTTTGTGCTGTCTTTACCTAGGTCTTCCATGCATCCTGCTGGGGCGCAAGCTTTCTTGATTGCAGTTGGGGTTTTCAGCTTTCTCAGTAGCTCGGCTTGTACTTGAGTCACCAGATGCAAGTTAGACATTTCTCTCTTCAGTTCCCAGTATGCACTTTGCATATTGTCACTTGAAATGCTCAGTCTTTGCAGATCTCTGCAGTTCAGACTGTCTTCCTGAGATGGAGCCGTTTGTTTGGCTTTCTGCAGCTCTATTTTGAGATCTCTACATTCTTTCCTCATCAGTTCCAGTTCCTGTTCCAAACCATGGATCTTCAGTTCGCAGCTTAACTTTTCCACCTCCCAGTTTGATGAAGGAGGATTTAAATTTCTTATCACCTGCTGAGTCTCCACCTCTGTCCTCAGCTGGAGGAGTTCTACTTCTTTAGACTGTAGCTGTTCATTCAACACTTTCAAAGATTCAGAGTTGTCTTTATTCATTTGATCCAGCTTGTTCTTCAGATTGTCTCTATCAATGCAGACCTCTCGGTACGCGTGATAGGCTTTGTTTACTTGCTCTCGTCCCACAGAGCTGGTGTCTTCACCCTTTCGTGCGCCTAGGAGCTTTTCTTCCAAAATTCTGATTCTTTTTTTTAAGAAAGAGTTCTCTTTCTCTGAATCCTTAAGTCGTTTTTTGATGTCTTCATATGCAGTGACAAGGGCAAAATGTGAAGCAACAGATTCATCTCCTGAATATATTGAGACTGGAGTCACTGGGTCTCTCCTGTGGGCTTTTTCGTGATTCAGAATACAAATATCATCTTCCACCAGTGCATCCATGACAGCCAGAACACAGGCTCCGCGGGGCCGCCCTCAGGGCCGCCGAGTTTCGATTCCCCAGTGTTTGGAAACGGACCGAAAACAAACCGGGTCGCCAGGGGTCACCGCGGACTTCCGGTTTCCTCGAAGACACAGCCGCTTCCCCGGCGAACGCAGCTGCCCCGGGGACGCCGCGGAGGGACTCCCATTTCTCCTGCCTCGGCGGTGCCGGGGCCGGCACGGCCGGCTAGTGGGCTGCGGCCCCGGAGGCTCTGGAAGGAGGTCCGCGCCGAGGCCGAGGGCCGAGCCGCTGCCGAAGAAGACCGGTTACCCGGCCTCGTCAGCCTAATTGTGGTTTTAATTTCCTAATAATTAACAAAGTTGAGCATCTTTTCATCTGTCTGTTGACTACGTGTATGTCTTCTTTGGAGAAGTGTCTATTTACACTTCTGACCATTTTTTGATTGGGTTGTTTTTTTTTTTTTATATTGAGCTGTATGAGCTGTTTATATATTTTGGAAATTAATCCCTTGTCAGTTGCATTATTTGCAAATATTTTCTTTCATTCCATAGGTTGTTGGTTTTTTTTTTTTTGTAGTAGAGGGAGTATGGTTTATTAAACTGTGTCTTAGTATAGGTGCTGGGGCTTTCTTGTGGTCTTGTTTTTTTAATTGATTAATTAATGTATTTTTCTATTTTTGGCTGTGCTGGGTCTTCATTGCTACGTACAGACTTTCTCTAGTTGCAGTGAGTGGGTGCTCCTTTCTAGTTGCAGTGCTCAGGCTTCTCGTTGAAGTGGCTTTTCTTGTTGCGATATGCAGTCTCTAGAGTGTGGGCTCAGTAGCTGTGTGCACAGGCTGAGTTGCCCTGTGACATGTGGAATCTTTCCGGACCAGGTATTGAACCCATGTCCCCTATCTTGGCAGGTGGATTTTTAACCAGTGAACCACCGGGAAAGTTCCATGGTGCTCTTAATGTATAAAGCCCAGAGGTTCTAGCAGTTTCTCTTGAGCAATGACACCAGTGAGCTGACAGCTAAGTGGATGTTGTGCACAAGCTCATCATCTGTCATCTTCACATGGCCAATAACCACTGCTAGACACAGCATCCTCTTCATCTGGAACTTGATGATGTTGCCTTATTCAAGTCTGGACCCAATTTCGGTGTTGTCTGTTGTGATCTCTCCATTTTCGTTTCTAATTTTGTTAATTTGGTTCTTCTCCCTTTGTTTCTTAATGAGTCTTGCTAATGGTTCTAGAACGAATAATTTCACAATTTGTATGGAAATACAAAAAACCTCGAATAGCCAAAGTAATCCTGAGAAAGAAGAATGGAACTGGAGGAATCAATCTGCCTGACTTCAGACTATACTACAAAGCCACAGTCATCAAGACAGTATGGTACTGGCACAAAGACAGAAATATAGATCAATGGAACAGAATAGAAAGCCCAGAGATAAATCCACGAACCTATGGTCACCTTATCTTCGACAAAGGAGGCAAGGATATACAATGGAAAAAAGACAACCTCTTTAACAAGTGGTGCTGGGAAAACTGGTCAACCACCTGTAAAAGAATGAAACTACCATGGCTAATTCATTTCAATGTATGACAAAAACCACTGCAATGATGTAAAGTAATTAGCCTCCAACTAATAAAAATAAATGAAAAAAAAAAAAAAAGAATGAAACTAGAACACTTTCTAACACCATACACAAAAATAAACTCAAAATGGATTAAAGATCTAAATGTAAGACCAAAAACTATAAAACTCCTACAGGAGAACATAGGCAAAACACTCTCCGACATAAATCACAGCAGGATCCTCTGTGATCCACATCCCAGAATTTTAGAAATAAAAGCAAAAATAAACAAATGGGACCTAATGAAACTTAAAAGCTTTTGCACAACAAAGGAAACTATAAGCAAGGTGAAAAGACAGCCCTCAGATTGGGAGAAAATAATAGCAAACGAAGCAAGAGACAAAGGATTAATCTCAAAAATATACAAGCAACTCCTCCAGCTCAACTCCAGAAAAATAAATGACCCAATCAAAAAATGGGCCAAAGAACTGAACAGACATTTCTCCAAGGAAGACATACAGATGGCTAACAAACACATGAAAAGATGCTCAACATCACTCATTATCAGAGAAATGCAAATCAAAACCACAATGAGGTACCATTACACACCAGTCAGGATGGCTGCTATCCAAAAGTCTACAAGCAATAAATGCTGGAGAGGGTGTGGAGAAAAGGGAACCCTCTTACACTGTTGGTGGGAATGCAAATTTGTACAGCCACTATGGAAAACAGTGTGGAGATTTCTTAAAAAGCTGGAAATAGAACTGCCATATGACCCAACAATCCCACTTCTGGGCATACACACTGAGGAAACCAGATCTGAAAGAGACACGTGCACCCCAATGTTCATCGCAGCACTGTTTATAATAGCCAGGACATGGAAGCAACCTAGATGCCCATCAGCAGATGAATGGATGAGGAAGCTGTGGTACATATACACCATGGAATATTACTCAGCCATTAAAAAGAATTCATTTGAATCAGTTCTAATGAGATGGATGAAACTGGAGCCCATTATACAGAGCGAAGTAAGCCAGAAAGATAAAGACCATTACAGTATACTAGCACATATATATGGAATTTAGAAAGATGGTAACGATAACCCTATATGCAAAACAGAAAAAGAGACTCCGATGTATAGAACAGACTTGTGGACTCTGGGAGAAGGCGAGGGTGGGATGTTTCAAGAGAACAGCATTGAAACACGTATATTATCTAGGGTGAAACAGATCACCAGCCCAGGTTGGGTGCATGAGACAAGTGCTCGGGCCTGGTGCACTGGGAAGACCCAGAGGGATCGGGTGGAGAGGGAGGTGGGAGGGGGGACCGGGATGGGGAATACATGTAAATCCATGGCTAATTCATCTCAATGTATGACAAAAACCACTGCAATGAAAAAAAAAAAAAAAAGTCTGGACCCAGGATTCATGGGATCTTGATCAGAGCCTCTGAAGCCAAAGATGCATGATACTTTTGGCAAGCTTCTTGACCACCAGAGAAGTCTTTGTTTTTTGATGGGATTTTAAATGTGATTTTTAAAAAATTTTTCTTTTTAATGCCTCACTGTTAGTATAAATAAGTGCAACAGATATCTGTATATTAATCTTATATCCTGCTACCTTGCTGAATTTATTGATTACAATAGTTTTGTATAGGGTGATGACTGACCAGGTGATGGTGAAGCAGTAATTCAACTTTGTCTTATCAGTAGGTTGTGTGGGTGAGGCTGGGGAGCCGGACCCTCCACTAAGGTGGGAGATTCCCTTAAGTGGGAAGGGTGTTAAGCCTCAAACACAAAAAAATCCTTGTAAGTCCCAGTGAGAAAGTTAAGGAGGTCACCTTGAGCTCCACCCCTTGGAGGGGTTGGAAAGGAAACCTCAGTTAGCAGAGAGGGAGAGGGAAAGGGCTTCTCAGGGAGGAAGCAGAGGCTGCGGTGGACTTTGGCTTTCAAGTGAATAAGGGCAGGGGAGGGAGCAAGGGTGGGCAGAGGGGCCAGGTAGGTGCGGTACCTCTTGGCGTGCCCATGGCCAGTCCTTCAACGCCCACATCAACAGACAGCTGCTGTGGGGGCTGCTCCTGGTGAGGCCACACTGGGCAGCGAGACAAAGCCTGAGGAGATGACGGGGTGCCCAGCAGGTGGGGCAGCAAGTCTTTTCTGAAAGCAGCAGAACCAATGGCCCTGCCTCTCTCCAGACACAGATTTCACTCCCGCAGAGAAGTCTCCTTAAAAGAAAGATTGGTTAAAAAAAAAAAAAAAAAAGATTGGTGTTTCCACTATTTTGGGGAGTTTGACCTTTTAATAACTAAAGTGACCTTTTTTGTGACTTGAAGGGACTGGAGAAAGGATGACCAGAGTTGTCAGAGTTGGTTTTCAGCCAAGGTGGGAAGAGCTAGTGTGGGAGGATTGAAAGGCAGTGGGAAACCACAGTTAAGCTGCTTTAGAATGACTGTTCCTTAGGAGCCCAGGTTGTTCAGCTTAACAGGGACAGTTAATTGTTTCTTTGTGGCAAGCGTGAGGCTGTCAGGTCAAAATCCACCAGGGCTCTTGGAGATAGCACACTGAGCCAGCCCCTCCCTGCAAGACAACCCAACTGCCATGTAACAGAGATTAGGTGAGGGAACTGCACTTTCAACTAGAAAAGGTACAGAAGGAAGGAGGGACATGAGAACCTGACTTTGCTACCTGGAGGCAAACCCAGCTGGTGGGCATGCAACTCTCCTAGCTTAAGACAAACCACTCAGATCATGAAAGTTGAAAGGCATCATCGCCTCAGCAAGATCAAGGCGCTGCTGGGAGCAGCTTCCCTAAGTGCCAGACACCACAGAGAACTTACCTGGTAGAGGACAGCTCTAAATCCAGTGTGCAGTGTGGTACTTAACTTTCTTCTCTGCTAAAGGTAGTTTGGGTTAGATTTCTGTGGCTTTCAACCGAAAGCGACACCAGCATGTGGATGAACTGAGTGGAATCCGTCCAGGATCCCCTGACCTGAAACTGTGGGTGACTGTCTTCCATTACAATATCGAAGGGTATTCATGCTCAGGGTCCACATGCTCATGGCCATATGGAGTTGAGGGGTTGAGCATATCCTGGCCACCTCTTCTGAGGTTGTGAGGAATCAATTTGTCCTGCTTCCTATTAATAGAATGGGGAAGGGGTGGACATGGTGTGGTAGGGGACACAATATAATTTCTTCTTTCTAGGAGAAAGCAGAGGAGAAAATATCTTAAATCTAAAATCTTCCGTTTAAAAATCTATGTACAATAGGTGGAGCACAGATTTTTAGGGCAGCGAAATTATTCTGGATAGAACATAGTGTGGGATCCATGTCTTTATACATTCATCAAAACCCATAGAATGTATGACAAGAAGAGTGAACCCTAATGTAAATAATATGAACCCTTCAGTAAATAATGATGCATCAAGTTTTGGATCAGTTGTGACAAATATACATGATAATGTGAGATACTAACAACAGGGAAACTGCAGGTGTGGGGAGTGAGCAGGGCATGTGAGGACTTCCTGTACTTTCCCTTGAATGTTACTATAAATCTCAAACGGCTCTAAAAATAATTTATTAATTAATTAAAATAAAGCAAATCTATTAATACAGGTCATATTTCTTGTCTCTTCCAATTAAAAATTATATTGCATGACTACATTTGTTTTTTCTGCAAAGAAAATCTTTGGCACACACACAAAAATTATGTAAGCCCCAATTTTATCACGTTTAAAATTAGTTATATATACATAAGCTTTAACTGACACAAACCCCCGGACTTATGCACTAAGATTCTTCCAAAGTTTACACAAGTGCTCATTTTCACAGTTTCAACAATTCAATTACTTATCTTAGAAATATACCAGAGCCACGGACAAATAAGCCATTTGAGAGCTCTGAGAAACGAATCTACCTACATGTTCCTGTCTCCGGGCAATCAGTCTCCTTCCCCAAGACAACATTCTTTGCCAAATAAGTCTTGATTCCAACTTGGAAGCGAAGGACGTTTGTAAATATACACAAATACTTGCGGCAATCGTTCAGTTCAGCAGGTTATGAATCCATGATGCTTGTCACAGTTCCTAGATCTCTCTGAGTGGCTTCACCTCACTCTTACCCCATTTGTCTTCAGTCTACATTCCAAGGCCCCTTCTGCCAGGCAGGCAGCAGGTCTCCTGCTGCAGAGGGGGGCAGCCTTGCTCCCTTCTTTGTCAGCATGCCTATACCGCTCACAGCCTGCACTGGCACCTTGTCCTTCTGGGGGATGGTCTCCTGCCAGCTGTCACCAGCCCAAACCACATCAACCTTCCTCACACCTAACATTTTGTTCTAAGAGCCCCATTTCAGTGTTTCCCCAGCCTTGTCCATACATGGCTTGCCAGCCTCCCTGCAAGCCATTTGGGCCCACACAGTTCTGCTGCTACTAAAATAGCTCTCTTCCAGCAATGCAATGGGGCAGAGAATGTACTTTTATGAGAAAGATCTGCACAGCTAGTTTCCTGTATCCCTACGAAGCTCTTCCTTTCTGGAATCAAAGTCCTTGATCTCAGGCTCCTCCCCAAGGTACCAGGCATTGAGGTCGCAGTGTTGCCTCACATGTGCCCACCCCTGGACCACGGACACCTTTCCTCCATCGTGGTCTGGGAGACTACAAGGCATCCTGGTTCCCCTCATGGGCTCTAGAGTCAGACAATCTGGGTCCTGATCCTGGGACTCCCCAGGTGGAGCTGAATGACCTTGGACAAACTCCAGAACCTCTCTAAGACTCCAGTTCTTATCCTTAAAGTGAGGATGAAACACACCTACCGCCCAAGATTGTAAGGAACATGCAATCACAAGGCCTGGCTCCTGCTGACACCTGGGAGTCAGAGTATAGTCTTTCTAGTCTGACTTGTCCCTGGAGAGAGTGAAGACTCCTCCCAATGCCACCTTGCTGGGCTGAGGGCTGGGCAAGGCTGAGCTGTACCTGGCCCTGAACTGCTCCAGTTTACAGGCATTCTTCTATAGGCTGCCCCTTCTCACAGCCAAGGACAGGACAGCCAGCTGGGGACCCAAGGACCCGAGGACAAGGGCTTCACCTGCGATGCTGCTATGTCATGTGCGTGGTTTGCCCTTCATTCTTGTGGCAGAAGCAGAGAAACACAGCAGGACCAGAGCTGTGTGGTCTTGTCCTCTATGGAAGCTGAGGTTGTGCTGAGACCCCCAAGAACATGGCCATACATCTGGGTCGGTAATGCCTTCTTCTTGCTACATCAGTGGATTTTGGACGGGGGAGCAGTGATTGCAGCCTCTGAGGATTTAATGAATGCCACCTCAACATACCCCACCTTGGGCTCTTCACAGATACTGTTCCCTCTATCTGCACCCTCTTCCAGGCACATTTTCACACGTACTGTACACCCAGATGTACATACACAGAGCCTGCACCTAATAAACAACTACTCCCTCCCTTAATTTTTACTTAAAATGTCATTTCCCCAGGGCTTAACATAGCATCTGGCTAATGGTAGGTCTGACCTGCTTTCCCTTGATGTGGGTTGGGTGTTAATACTGTTTTGACCCACTAGAGGAGTGGTGAGAATTGTGAGGAAAATGGTAGGGCATGAATGCCAGGCCCAGGACATGCCTGACGCCCCCCTCAGCCACCATATACCTGACCCCACCCAGGTGCTTAGCTTCCGTAGCCAGTTTCCATCAGTGTCATCAGCTCCTGTTCCTCCTATTCTGAATCCCTCAGATTTGAGCCCTTGCTCAGGCACCTGCTCTTACAAAACTCTGGAATTTTGGTGCATTAAATGACAGAAAAATCCCTGAAGAGAGACTGACTGATTTGACCACATTAAACTGTAAAACTTCTGAAGGTTAAAGAAACAATAGGCAAAGTGAAAGGCAGTCACAACCTGGGAGGAATATCTGCCACTAGTATAAGGCATAAAAGGTAACAGAGACGTAAAAGTTCAGCCAATATTTACCGAGGGCTGACCATTTTCTGGGCACTGGGGGTGGAGGAGCGCTTGGTCATGGCTTGCGTGTGCACTGTACCTCGTGAGTGTGGTGGTAAGTGGGCCTGGATGGAAGGCGGGTCAGGGGGAACCACATCTGGGGAGAATACCGGGTGGAACAAAGCTTGGCACACAGGAGGAGCTGAGAGAGCGACTGTGTTGCTAGACCACAGACAGCAAGGGGACAAGGCCAGGAGGCGAGGGGGGGATGTCCGTAGGGCCAGACCACCTGGGCCTTGTAGACCTTTCCGTATTTAATTTTTTTATCCTTTATTCTAAGAGCCACAGGAAACTATGGATGGATATTTTTTTTCCATTTATTTTTATTAGTTGGAGGCTAATTACTTTACAATATTGTAGTGGTTTTTGTCATACATTGACATGAATCAGCCATGGATCCACATGTATTCCCCATCCCCATCCCCCCCTTCCACCTCCCTCTCCACCCAACCCCCCTGGGTCTTCCCAGTGCACCAGGCCCGAGCACTTGTCTCATGCATCCAACCTGGGCTGGTGATCTGTTTCACCCTAGATAATATACATGTTTTGATGCTGTTCTCTCGAAACATCCCACCCTGGATGGATTTTAAGTAGGGGTCGCAAGGTTGGATTTGCCTTTTCCAAGCTCACTCCAGCTGGTAGATGAAGGAATGGTTGAGAAAGGGGTAAAGATAGATGTGGAGAGAACTGACAGGACACGTGGCTGTCATATGAGGTCAGGGAGAGACAGTGAGGGCTTAGAGTGGGAGCGGATTCAGGCCCTAGGTGACTGTATCTGTCTGCAGCTAGACATCGATGCCCTGGAAGCCCAAGAGCCAGCATCACCCCTCCAAGCCACTACAAGACTCTGGCCCTCAGAGACACCCTGACATAATTAATATCTGTTGTTTGCAACTGTTAAGTTTGGGGGTAATTTTTAATGCAACAATGGATAACTAATACACCAATTACTGTTGTTTTACTCCATTTTTTCATTTTGCAAATAATCCTTGAGCAGGCACTCTTTCAGAAGAGAAATCATACTAAAGAATCTGACTAAAAAAGCAAAGATAGTATTTAGAATACAATCTGATTTTTGTAAAAATGTGTATGTGTGTACACAGTAGATGTTTAGAACGATATTTATACACCACAATGTTTATTTCTTTCCACTTTAAATTTTTCTATATTATCTGAATTTCATTTACATGAATATGTAAAAACATACTCCTAGGGAAAAACAATGTGATTTCTATTTTGGGATATAAAAGCATCTTAATATTCCCTCATAAGAGAGTTGTAAGGCAGTGTGTTCAAAGTCATGCTCTGACATACATGCCAATTGGCTGTAGGATCTGTTAAAATGCTAAGCTTGATTCAGTAGGTTTCTGTTGGTGCCTGAGATCCTACATTTTTCTAACAAGCTCCAGGTGATAACAGAGGCAGCTGGCCCCAAGGACTATATACTCTGAGAAGCCAGACTCTAAAGTAACCCTGGATGTAGAGTTCAGGGCTCAGGGTTCAAATCCTGACGCAGCCCCAATTTATAGTTCAGCCTTGGGAAAAACATACATCTGGCCTGGTCTTCATTTTCTCTTTTCAGGAAGCAGGTGGACTTGATCTGTCATTGTTAGAACTCCCTCTCTTCACCCTGAGCCCTCTCGGGGTGATGAAACTGGCCTAGAGACGAGCTTTTCAAGCAACATCATGCCCCTCTTCATGTGAGATGCACTGCTGGTGTCTGAGGTACACGATCAGGATGGGTCCCTACTGTTGCCATCTCCGTGTCTGTCCCTTCGTGTCCCTGCAGTCCCTCTTTCTTCCAGGTGATGGCAGCAGAGGGCAAGGAGTCCCAGAGGGCAGCGGCCGGCAACCGAGGGAGTCAAGTGGGCATTTGCCCTCGTCCTCTCGGTTACAAGGAGGACTGTGCCAGTTCTAATTCACGTGTTTTATTTGTTTAGGGTTAGGCTCCAGCTTTTTTTTTTTCCCCCAGGAAGATATCAAGCATTATTCTAAGTGGAAGAATTCAGGATTAAAAATAGAAGCCCTGCAGAGATCTTACCTGGCACCTGATCTGTATGTCATTGAGGACCTGCAGAGGTGGGTGTGGACACGTGCTGAGCTGGCCTGAATGCCAGGCTGGGGCTGGGGGCAGGGGTTTATTTTTGCATTCTGGCCTCATAGTTGGGGGGGTTATCACCTCATTTTACATATGTGGAAGCAGATTCAGTGACGTCAGGATGGGGACCACTGCCCCTCAGCTTCTTAAGTGGCAGAACTGAGACCCTTCTCATAAAACCCTATGTGTCCCTTGTGCGTGCATGCTAAGTCGCTTCAGTTGTGTCCAACTCTTTGCGACCCCATGGACCATAGCCCACCAGGCTCCTCTGTCCATGGCATTCTCCAGGCAAGAATACTGGAGTGGGTTGCCATGCCCTCCTCCAGGGGATCTTCCCGATCCAGGGATCGAACGCACATCTCTTGTGTCTCCCGCACTGGCAGGGGGATTCTTTACTACTAGTGCCACCTGGGAAGCCCATGAGTCTCTTGGGTGGCGCAATTTTCATTTTCTGGCCTATTTTCATTTTCTTTCCCCATTTACAGAGAGAAGGGTTTGTTTGTTTCCTTGAGGTTAAACCCATCAGAATGTAGTAAAGTGAACTGGGATGACAACGGGCCATGTTGCTGGGACAGCTGGCCCAGACCCTATGTCACAGATGATGCGTGTGCTAAACCACATCAAAGGTGAAGGTAGTAGCAAAACTTTGAATTCACTGAGATTGAGAAACTAGTTCAGTCTTGCTTTCTTCTCTCTCTCTCTCTCTCTTTTTTTGGCCTTGTTGTGCAGCATACGAGATCTTAGCTTCCCAGCCAGGAATCAAACTTGTGCTTCTTGCATTAGGAATGCAGAGTTCAAACCACTGGACTGCCAGGAAATTCCAGAGTCCTTTTGTTTTCTGATGATTCCCTCCACGCAGCCACCCTGGCCTCGTCAATGTTCCTCCAACACTCCAGACCAGCTCCTACCTCGGGGCTTTGGCACCTATTGTTCCCTCTCTTTAGGTGTTTCCTTGATATCAATAAAGTCCACTTAATTGCCTCCTTCAAGTCTTTGCTCAAATAACTCTTCAAGCAGCCACCCTGGCCTCCCAAGTTACAGCTGCATCCCCTCTGCCCCCCCACACCCTTCCCCCTCACCTTGTCTTTTTTCTACAGCACGCATCACTCTCTAGCACGCTATATAATTAATTATGCGTTATGCTATTTATTTATATGCCTACTACTCTGCTATTTTTGCTATATGTCTTTGGAATTCTCTAGGCCAGAATACTGGAGTGGGTAGCCCTTCCCTTCTCCAGGGGATCTTTCCAACACAGGGATTGAACCCAGGTCTCCCACATTGCAGGCAGATTCTTTACCAGCTGAGCCACAAGGGAAGCCCTATATGTTGAGTAATAATTTTCAGTTGAATGTTGAATGAATTACCCTGATAGCTACATGTCAAACACATGCTGACCTATGAGGGAACTGTTACCCAATGGACAGGTAACTAATGTGTGAAATTCATACGTGGACATACAGGTGACGTATGAGAGGCGTGTGACCCACCATGTCAGGCATGAGACCAAAACGTGACAGAACCTTGAAGGGAATGTGTCATGAACAGACACATGTCAGCCAAGTGACGAGATGTCAAAGACACACGATGGGACTGTGACGGCACAGGCTGAGCGAACTGAAGGACTGGTAACAGAGCGGGTGGTCCAGGTACATGGAAGGAGAGGCTTGTCACAGCCCCATAGAAATACCACTGCCTGGGACTCTCAGGCCTTCTTTGTTACAATGCAGAGGTCTCTTTGCATAAACGGATGCTCCTTGAAAGCAAACAATTTTTGCTTTTCCTACAAAAAGCAGAATTTCTTCCAGAAATATCCTTGTGCCTGGACTCTCCCCAGAGTTCAGAGATATTTTTTGGTTTTTTTTTGTCCTGAGCCGCTTTGGCAATCTGGTGAATTCTTTTTTTTTTTTTTAAATATATATAATTTTATTACAAAATTTTTTTTAAAAAAAGAAAACGCAACATTCTCGTTCTAGAAAACCCAAAATTTGCTATCGATGCTAATTTCTATGAGTTTGCTGTGCTACCATACACAAGTCAAGAAATTTAAGAAACCATTAAATATTTAGAAACATTTAACATCAGAAGCAGCCCAGGTTGGGTGCATGAGACAAGTGCTCGGGCCTGGTGCACTGGGAAGACCCAGAGGGATTGGGTGGAGAGGGAGGTGGGAGGGGGGACCGGGATGGGGAATACATGTAAATCCATGGCTAATTCATTTCAATGTATGACAAAAACCACGGCAATGATGTAAAGTAATTAGCCTCCAACTAATAAAAATAAATGAAAAAAATAAAAAATAAAAAAAAAAGAAACATTTAACATCAGAAGCTTGAAAATCTAACTGTATGTAGTAGCCCCTCAAAAAGCCACAACTTGCATTTTTAAAAAAGTATTTTCTCTACAAAGAATCTTATCAGCAATACAAAAATCTGTACAATTTTTATACTGAAGCTAATATTGAGCTGCACTTGAATTCAGATTCTTAGCAAAACAATTGCCTGAGCACACATGCATACTCCACACACATCATTACAAGATAGCCATTTATTCCTCATCTTCCTCTTCCTCTTCCTCATCTTCATCCTCTTCCTCCTCATCTTCTGGTTCATTCTTCTTCTTGGAGCCTGTCGGCCTGCCAGGGCCCTTTTTTCCCGCTTCACTCTTGCCCTTGGCACGGTATGCAGCAATATCCTTTTCGTATTTCTCCTTTAGCTTAGCTGCTTTCTGTTCATACGGCTGTTTTATCTTTGGCTGACTGCTCAGACCACATTTCACCCAATTTTTTTGCAGTATCCCCAGTGGATAAGCCAGGGTGTTCGCTTTTGATCTTTGGACGATGTTCGGAGCAAAACAGGAAGAAGGCAGATGGAGGCCTTTTCGGAGCGTTGGGATCTTTTTTCTTTCCCTTCTTGTCACCTTTAGGAGGGACATAATTTTTCATCTCCCTGTCGTAGCGAGCTTTGTCACTTTTTGCCATGTCTTCGAACTTGGACTTTTCCTTGGCCGACATGGTCTTCCATCTCTCGGAACATTTCTTGGAAAACTCTGCGAAATGGACTGAGGAGTCGGGGTGCTTCTTCTTGTGCTCCTCGCGGCTGGTCTGCACGAAGAAGGCGTCGAAGACATCTTGCCCCGCGGCTTGTTGGGGTCGCCCTTCCCCATGATGCTGCTGCTGCGGCGGACGGAGGCGGCGTGTCCACCTGGCGAAAGAGTGTCCTCAGAGTTCCGCGCAGCGGCCGCGTTTCACCGCGACGCCGCTGCTCTGGCTCCGGCGTGAACTGGTTCCTCGCTAACGCAATCCTCCGCCTCTTTTGCAGACTTCTCCGCGCCAAGGCAACTTGACGAGCCGGGTCACAGGCCACTCCCAATCTGGTGAATTCTATGAAGCCCCTTCTCAGAATAATGCACAAATGCACCTTTCATGTATGACACATAAAAAACATTGGAACAAAGGACACAAATTGTATTAAAATGCAATAACTAAAACTGTGATAAAATAATATATATACTTTTCAATAAAAATACTAAATAATGATAGTCTAATAATTATTCCAATCTTAAAGTCTTCTGAGTATAAATGATATTTCAAGATACTTGCAATGACTGTAAGGTGATATACAATATCTGATTCTACGGGACAAATCCACAGGTACTGCTCATTACCATGGCTTGCTACCTACGTTCATAATAAAGGAAATGCCAAATTTCAGTTAGAGGTTTGTGAAAATCAAGATGTAATCCTTTTCCCATTTTAGTTCACAGGCTTCCTGAATTCTGTCCAGGAAACTACTGGGGGTCCACAGACCTCACGTTTCAAACCTGCCTTCTAGCCACCTCAGAACTGAACAGCCTATCCTGGCTACAGAAATTCAGCTTTAAGACTCTTTTCCATAAAGGACATAAAATGTAAAAAAAAAAAATTAGTGAAGAACAACAGCTGAGCATCAGAGCTTGATTTTGGTTGACCTGGAAGGAGTGAGGAAGAGAAGATCTCTATCACCAGCCAGGTGTTTTGCCACCTGCTCATGGGTTGTATGGACACTGCTCACTGCAGGAGGCCAGTGCCAAGTGGGGTGTCCTACCCTTCACGGCTGGGATTGGAAGGGCCCCCAATAGGAGACAGAGCTAGAGTGACTCCATGAGCCTTGTGGGTCTACCCCAGGGATCCTGGTGGAGCAGGCACCAAATAAGAGCTGAAAAGGAGAAGGCCCAATGAGGAATGTAATCATAATCAGTAGCCAGCATGCAGGTTGTGTCCAGGGCATCTGAGGAGCCTGGTGGGAACAGATAGATCGCTGTCACTGAAGAGTTCTGAAGGACCGCTAGGAACCCTTGAAATCCAACTCTTCAGATTCTCACAGCTTATTCTTGGGATTCCAAAGGCTCCCCAGAGCGTTCTTCTGTGACTGAGACTCTGACTACCCTTGGAGTCCTGAGTCTTCCCAGACAAAGGAGAGTTAAGGAATGGATCCATTTCCATTTTAGATATGAGGGGTAGATACATGGAAAATAGATTTGATGATAGTACACTCTGGATTTTCTAGGGTAGCTCTTATCTCAAAGATTCTGTTCCATTATCAGAATACATGTCCCAGTTTGGGGTTTGGGAAGTAAAGTAACCATACACAGGGATCAGGTTGACATTTTGGAGGCGGGGGACATTTTTTTGCTATTTAGAAACTTTTGCTAAAAGTTCAGGGTTTCTGAGCTGCATCTGGTGGTCCAGAATCAGGCAGAGTTGACTTTATAGAAATGACTAGTACTCTTTGAGTTAGAAAAGCACCTTGATGAACATGTTTGTTCATAGAAGACAAGACCTCCAAGGAATGGAATGTCTTATTTAAATGGAGTTAAAATTATTTTCAGAGGGGCTGCAGGTTGGAGTTTGGGAACACAAGGAGAGGAAGAGAAGCCCAGCCTCAGGCAGGGCCCAGGGAAATAGCAGGTGTGGTGTTCCTGAGGTGGGAGGGCTACAGGATTGAGGTCAGGATGATTAGCACACATCTTGTACATAAGTGAAATGTGACCCCCTGGGCAGGTTCTGCAGAGGATGAGGCTGGGACCTGCCTAGAAATTGCCTTTTGTCCTGGGAGGCCACTGATGTACCATGTGACGTTTGGAGACTCATTGGGTACCAGAGGACAATGTGAAGAGCCAGCTCATTAGAAAAGACCCTGATGCTGGGAAAGATTGAAGGCAAGAGGAGAAGGGGACGACAGAAGATGAGATGGTTGGATAGTATCACCAACTCAGTGGACATGAGTTTGAGCAGATTCTAGGAGATGGTGAAGGACAGTGAAGCCTGGCATTCTGCAGTCCATGGGGTCACAAAGAGTCAGACACGACCGAGAGGCTGAACAACAAGTAACTCTAAGGGGTTCTCAACAAACAGCTTGTTCCCTGCAGCCCCTTCCTCCTGGATAATTGCTGCTGCTTCCCTGTGTGACTGACTCATGGATTACAAAACCTGCTTTCAGTGTAGCAGGTCACTGGGTTCTAATTAACACTGTGATTCAAGAGCCACCCTCTTGCTTGGCTACAGACACCATCTTGCTACACATTTCAATCCAGGCTCGAGTCATCTGTTTAGCAGTGACCATTTTGTTACCCACATAAATCACATGGCCCAGGAAAACCCCAAACTCCCACAGACCTGCCAAAGCCCATTACCCTTCTCTGTTATCCCAAACCTCCAAGGAAATCCACATACACGCAACTTTGTCAGAGGTGCATGGATGTGGGAAGCAGGAATGAGGGCTGTGACTAGCGTGGGGTGAGAGAACAAGAAGAAATTGTCAACTGTAGGACCTAAAGGAGTTGGCAAGGGGTTGTGCAACTCAACAGAAAGGGCATCTGAGCCTCCCCTTTCAAACCATCCCATTTTATATTAAAGGTAAGTGTGACTTCAAAAGACTGGAAGGCTTGGTGAACTCATGGGTGGCCAACACTTGGGTGGGTATCTGATCTCCCTTTAGCCTTGGCTAGGAGGAGATCTATTAGCTCTATTAGGCTGAATCTGAATCCTGCATGAGTGTTCTGCAAGAGGTGAAGACTCCCTTTTACCCTGTCTTCCTTGTGTGAGAGTTCAGCACAAATAGTGTAGTGTTCCTTTAGCTTTCACCTTAACAAATCTGACTTTGTTCTTCTTATTCTCAATTTCCTGTGCCAACCCCCAGGTCCCAGGTCTCCAGTTATGTTTTGATGGTCTATGTTTATCTTTTCCTCTTTGTTTTGTGGATAGTAAGAGGTTTGGATATACTTCCCTCCAACTGAGGCCACTGGGAATCTCCCCTGGGTATTGGAAATGCCACATGGCACCACAATTGCAGCTGCTATGTAGACACACATGGGAGCTACATTCAGAAGACTTGAAGTTTAATTCCAGCCTAGCCACTCACTAACCTCATAGACTTAGGGAAGTCATAGTTTTGTTTTTTTGTTTTTTTCAGAATCTGTTTCTTCATCTGTACAGTGAGGGAGTTGGTCTAGCAGGCTACTCTGGGCTCTCTGGGTTGCACGTGACAATAAACCAACTCATACTAGCTTGAACAAAATGTGAGAGGTATTGGTTTCCAAAGAAGGTAGACAGGCAATGGGAAGGCAGCTGGACCTCGGGAACAAACGGTGTCAGGCATCTGATGGCCCTCAGTACTTTGTCTCTTGTCTCCATTTCCCTCTGAGTATTGATCTCTTTTTCACTCAACCAGGTTTTGTAACAGTGAAGAATAAGCCTGATTCCATATTGGATCTATTCCTTTGGCCCTAACCTTTGTGCTATTTTGCCTGTGCTTACTCTTGGTGGCTGCGCACCTTTGTAAAAGAACGCCACCTGTAGCCTGAAATACTCATGATAGCCTATTCTCAAGGCTTTGACCTTTAAAGGCATAACACTTTCCCATTCATATAAAGATTAAAAAATCACAGACAGAAAATAACAATTGTCTTGGTGGTGGTTTATAGGAACAATTGTGATCAGACCTATGTAAACAGCTGCAAGAACAAGGATTCGGGCACGTAGAAGTCTGCAACCTGCTCCCCTTTAAGTATAAAAGAAGGCTGAATTCTAACTTGGGTTAGAAGGTTCTTTGGGATACTAGTCTACCACCTTCTTGGTCTGCTGGCTTTCCTAATAAAGTCGGGGTGCCTTGCCGCAACAGCTCATCTCTCAATTTATTGACGTGTCCTGTGATAACTGGTATGAGCTTGAGTTTGGTAAACAGTTTCTTCACATAGTGACTAACATGGGTCCCAGTGGCTCTAGGTTCTCCATCTAACAGCTTTCTTAACTCAGCAATCTAGAGATTATAGACAGACTCCCTGGGTCCAAATCCAAAATTCTCATGGAAGGGCTCTCATGGGCCTAAATTGGATCAGTGCCCACCCCAAACCAGTCAACTGTGGCCAAGGAGGCAGACCACTGTGTGAAAAATGGCTGCTCCCCAGTCCCACAGTCATTATGGGAGGAGCAGTTTTCTTAGAGACAGGTCCAATAAAATCTAGGGGACTGAGTATATGGGGGAAATGTGTAGTATAACAAGCTTGAAGTTTAATTGTCGATCAAAGTTCTGCTGTTGCCCTGTCAAAATACAAAACAGTCTTCTTGAACTTCTAATCAAAGTTCTTAACATCCTTTGTTCTGAAAAAATGTTGGCAGGAAACTAAAGCAAGTTTTGAATAAATTATTGGTCAAATCTCAGCTAACACAATTGAACATTCTCAAGTGGATAGTATTAATATATAATCCTGCTGATAGGATTCTAGGAAGACGACGGAGTAAGAAACAGGAAGGTATCTCCTCACTTAGACAATAATTGCACTGGCAGAATCTGTCTGATGTAACTGTTTTGGAACTCTGGGATCTATTAATGGCTTGCTGCTTCCAAGGGAAGGCTCAGACAGTAAACTGCAGTTAATTTCAGTCAGTTTCACCTATTAGCATAGTAGCAGGTGCCTATCTCCCATCCTCAGCCAGGTGGCAGGCAGCTGTGTCCACGTTCCCGGAGCAGTGTGCAAATAGCTTGCAGGAACCAGAGTGGGCCAAAAGGGCCCTGTCTACCATAAACCAGGAATTTGCGCTTTAACTGCTGATTTCTGCTTCTGACCTTAGAGGTATAAGACAGGGCCAGCCATTGTTGTTGCTCTCCTTCCTCCCCTTCTGGTAA